ATTTTTTTTCCTGAAAATATGTCCATGCAGCTTTAAGCAGCCATTAGCAATTCTGACACTTTATAAAAGGAACATAGTTTAGCTAGAAAGGCCAAATAGTCACACACCCTTGTTGGCTGTTCACTTGTTACCCACACTGGCCCTGATGCCCTTTTAGCTCAAAAAAAAAAAAAAAATCAGGGCTATTTTCTTTGAAAAACACCTTCATTGAAAATAAGCCAACAATGTATTATTACAAAACAAAAAACCCAACCTCACAAAATAAATGTGGACAATCCATGAGAAATTCCAAGTAGAGAATTGGAGTATCCTATATTAGTAGCATCAGATTTCAAGGCTTACTAGTTTTTTATTTATTTAATCAAATGCCTATCATGACTTAAAACCCAACTAGTCTGACAAAAAAAGTACTCTCCAGAATCTATTGGTTGCCTTAAATAATGATTGAAAAAGGTTGTGTCTCATTGTTTTTACCCTGGAGGTAAAATCACTTTGAGTCCATTTGTTATGGGGGTGTCCAATTCCTTACTGGCGATAAGTGAACCAAATTTTTGAAGGCGGTTAATGATTATAGATGGTATTATTTTAAAATTGTATTCCAAAATTTTTAAATTGTACAACATGGATACACAGTGTTTTGACAGTGGCAAAAAAGGTGATTATGCACTCATAAAAGAATATTTGCATTCTAGACCCTAAATGTTGACTTCATGAAATGTTTCAGCCCCTGAAATAGTTTTGCATTTATGGAGAGGCAGCCTGGGACCTAGCACCCCCCCCCCCCCGTGGTTGAGATTCAATTGATGGTATAAAACTTGAATTGACTGAAAATTAGAAAAACATTACATAATGTCAGTATCTTGAGATCTGCATCTACAATACATCTACTTATCTTCCATCTGTAAATGAACCTTTTGTCAATGCTGCAAATACTGTATATTCTTGCTTTGACAATATGCAAAACTGTCTGGTATTTACTGGGTTAATACAGAGCTTAGAGTAGGGGGAGGGAAAGCCCGGGAAAGAAAGAGGAAATAAACTTTTGACCTTCACACTAATTGGATAATGTGACTTGTGACTGCAAGATAAGGGAGGGGTTTAGCAAGAAAAGGTTGATGCCAGCGAGAGGAAGTCAGATTCTGGCATCACAATGTCCATGATGGTGACCGGCAATTTGTAGCTCTGTAATAAAGACTTTAGGAAACATGCCTGAAAGTTCTTTGAAGTGCTTCATTAGTCGGAACCTCTGACATCATGCCAGAATCCAACATTCTTTTCAAACGACCTGCGGTCCCGAACTCCATCAGCTGCCCTATGCTTGAGAGGAGCTGGCAAAGTTTCGGGGAAGATCTCACTATTGAGAAAGAAAGATTGCCTGAGACCAGCCCCGTGGCTGCAACAGTTTCCCCGGGGGGGGGGGGGGAAGCGACAGCCAGCAAGCCGGGGGAGAGAGGAATTTGGCAGATTTCCCAGCTGAGAGTGAGGTGTTCAGTGAAAAAGAATGTGATGCCCTACCCCCTCACAGACCCAATGACTGCTCCATCGAACTGGTGCCCGGAGCCAAACTCCCACGTCCGAGGATGTATGTTATGTCCCCCCTCGAAATGGAAGAGATGCAGCGATATGTGAACAAAAACCTAGCGAGGGGGTTTATTGAACGGGCCAAATCTTCCGTGGGAGCCCCTGTGTTGTTCAAAGAGAAAAAAGATGGGTCTCTTCGTCTCTGCGTAGACTACAAGGGACTCAACGCTGTAAGTGTGGAAAATAAATACCCCCTCCCCCTCCTAAAGGATTTATTGACCCATCTGGCTAAGGGGAGTGTCTTCACTAAGTTAGACCTAAGAGAGGCATACTACCGGGTAAGAATAAAAGAGGGAGACGAGTGGAAAACTGCTTTCAACTGTCCTATGGGGAGCTATCAGTTCAAAGTCATGCCATTTGGACTACAGGGGGCCCCAGCTGTATTTATGCAGTTGATTAATGAGGTTCTATATGATCAATTGTACAAAGGGGTTTTGGTGTATCTTGATGATATCCTGATATACAGCACAAATATGACTGATCACATAAAGCTAGAGAGAGAAGTGTTAAAGAAACTATTGAATGCCAAGCTTTATGTCAAATTGTCAAAATGTGAATTTCACCAAACCCAATTAGACTATTTTGGCTACCGAATTTCCAATGAGGGTATTGAAATGGATCCGGCCAAGGTGAAAACTATAATCGAATGGCAGCCCCCAAGGACTCGCAAACAGCTCCAGAGCTTTCTGGGTTTTGCCAACTTTTATTGTCAATTCATCCCTTCTTTTGCCGAGATTGCCCTACCTCTTACAGAACTACTCAAAACAGGCAAAGGAGGAGGGAAGCCACGACCGGGCCAACCACTAGCATGGGCAATGAGCTGTCAAACAGCTTTTGAGAATTTAAAGAGACTATTTGCCGCTGAACCGGTTCTAAAGCACCCCTGCCCAGGGGAACCCTTTGTGATTCAAGCCGATGCCAGCGATGTGGCGGTTGGAGCAGTGTTACTACAAAAGAACAAAAATGGGATCCTGCAACCCTGCGCCTACACCTCTAAGAAATTCACTGAGAGCGAGCGAAGATGGGCAATCTGGGAGAAAGAGGCCTTCGCAATTAGGTGGGCGCTATTGAACTGGCGACACTATCTAGAAGGGAGCAAAGTGCCATTTGAGGTATGGACAGATCACAAAAACCTAGAGGCACTGAAAACTCCCCGCAAATTGTCACCAAAGCAAGTACGGTGGGCACAGTACTTTAACCACTTCAGCTTCACTCTAAAGTACATACTAGGAGGAAAGAACTTTCTAGCTGATGCGCTATCCCGGTTACCCCAGTACAAAAGCGAACGAGAGCAGGTTAACGAGGCAATTATTCCCGATCCACAGACTGTTGCTCAACTTACACCTCGCAGGGTCCCCAATCCTGATGACCCTGGAGTGAAGAAAATAAAACGAGAGCTCCTCACTGACCAATGGTTCAAAGATAATCAAGCGTCCCTAACATGCAGAGATGGCTTGGCTTACAAAGGGGGGAAGTTATATTTGCCAGAAGCGCTCCATCTTAATGCTCTCAAACACAGCCACGACGTAAAGCAGGCTGGACACTTTGGATATTTGAAAACCCTACACCTCACCCTCCGGCAATTCTGGTGGCCAGGGCTGAAAAAGGATGTGGAAAACTATGTAAAAGTTGTACTGTATGTGCCACAATGAAAAGAATCCCGGGGAAAACCCCTGGGTTACTGCAACCCGTGGCAGACCCTTCTCAACCCTGGGAAGAAATAGCTATGGACTTTATAGTGGACCTACCTGAAAGTAGGGGAAATACTGTCATCTGGACTGTAATAGACCTGTTCTCGAAACAGGCTCATTTCATCGCCTGCAAAGGACTCCCATCTGCCCAACAACTGGCCAAATTGTTCCTGAAACATATCTACCGGCTCCATGGTGCCCCTAAGTGAATAATCTCAGACAGGGGGGTGCAATTCACAGCTAAGTTTTAGAGAAATTTCCTTACATTGATTGGATCATCTCAAGGGTTATCATCTGCTTTTCATCCGGCCACCAATGGGGCCGCCGAAGCCGCTAACAAAATGTTGGAGTAATATCTTAGGTGCTATGTTTCTTACCAACAGATGAACTGGACTGATCTCCTCCCTTTTGCGGAGGTGGCGTACAATAATTCCGTGCACAGCAGCACCGGCTACACGCCTTTCAAAGTAGCCACAGGGAAAGAATTTAACCCAATACCTGAATATTCTCAGTTGCCCTCCGCTTCACAGACACTTGATCAATGGGTGAGAGGGTGGGAAGAAGTTTGGAAAAACACAAAAACTGCTTTAAAAAAGACTTTTGAAACCTATAAAAAGCAGGCTGATAAAAAGAGGGCTCCCCAAAGAACATTCCAAGTTGGGGAAATTGGGACCAAAATTCTTGGGGCCTTTCCCCATAGTAAAGGTCATCAACCCGGTCACAGTACAACTAAAACTCCCTAAACTGTTAGGGAAAATTCACCCAGTTTTCCATTGTAGTTTGTTGAAGCCTTATCGGGGCTCCACTTTAAGACCTCCTCCAAAGAAGGCACCTGGACCCCTCGTAGTGGCAGGGCAGACCCACTATGAAGTGAAATGTATTCTTGACTCCAGAATCTTTAGAGGGAAATTACAGTATTTAGTACAATGGAAAGGATACCCGTTGTCTGAAGCCACCTGGGTGAAATCTAGTGAAGTGAACGCTGACAGATTGATCGAAAGGTTTCATTGAAACACCCCAGCAAACCGAAAGATAACCCTTAACATATGCTTTTGTTTACTTTACAGGTTCTGTCCTTCTTGTAAGGGGGGCCGGATGTCAATGCTGCAAATACTGTATATTCTTGCTTTGACAATATGCAAAACTGTCTGGTATTTACTGGGTTAATACATAGCTTAGAGTGGGGGGGAAGCCTGGGAAAGAAAGAGGAAGTGAACTTTTGACCTTCACACTAATTGGATAATGTGACTTGTGACTGCAAGATAAGGGAGGGGTTTAGCAAGAAAAGATTGATGCCAGCGAGAGGAAGTCAGATTCTGGCATCACAATGTCCATGATGGTGACCGGCAATTTGTAGCTCTGTAATAAAGACTTTAGGAAACATGCCTGAAAGTTCTTTGAAGTGCTTCATTAGTCGGAACTTCTGACACCTTTCCTGGGACCTGGGTGATTTTTCCTCTTTGGTTTCGCTTCTCTTGCCCAGGGAACAGGCTCTGGCGTGCTCTGCCCTGCATCTGCCTGGGGAAGCGCAGCGTCGGCCCTTCTTTTCAAAGGGGGCCCAGCAGTTCTTTCCCATCAGAGTCCCCGAGTCGCATTGCCGCAGAGAAACAGCAGCATTTTCTCCAATCTTGGGGGCAATGAGGGGTTCACTCCTCAGGTGCCCCCCCACTAGAGCTCCGTGGGCCCCCTGATCTCAAGCCCAGCGCCCGACCCCTCCCTCGTCCCTACCTGGAGGCTTCTTCAGGTAAGGTGGCTTGCGAGGAAGAGGAGGCAGGGGGCGGGCCTCCTTGCTGCTCCCCCGACGCCCCGCAGGACAGGATCTTCACAGGGCCAGGCAAGGGGGCGCTGTGACAAGAAAGCCAAGCAGGCCGGCTGCTGCTCCCGGGAGTGGCGAGGCTTTCCTTGGCCCTCCCCTCTGCGAGGCTCCCCTCGGTGGCACCTGCTGAAGCATAGAAAGAGTGAGGAGGAAGTCCTGGTGCATGGGTGGGGGTTGAGGGGGCTATGAGATGCCCCCTCGGCCTCTTCTGGCCTTCTTTGAAAGCCCCTGCCGGACCCCCACAGCCAAAAAGCGGGGGGGAATAAGCCTTCACTTCCTGGGGTGGCTTTAAGGATGGGCTCGTCCCCTTCTGAAGGAAGGCAAGGGGATTCTCTTTCCCTCCTGCAACCGCCCTGACCCCCCCTCAAATCTGGCTTCCAGGCAGAGCTGAGCCAGAGTCACAGCCTGGTGCCTGCCTTGCGGCACAGGAGCCCCACAGAGCCCCGGATGGCCTTTCCACTCCAAGGCCATTCCTGGCTGCCCGGCTTCTCCCTGGCCTACCAGCCCTGACCAGGCTCCTACCATAGGTGAGCCCAATTCTGGGCCATTTTATAAGGGAATAAGCAACAAGCTTCTTAAAGGGGAGGGGTGTACTTAAATATTTGAACAGCTATTTCTAACTAATGAGAAATAATTAATGGCCAAATTTGTCAGAAGTGTGTTTTCTAAACTGAATAGAGGTTCAGCATTCATGTTTTAAGTTCCTGGATTGGCCCCACTTTGCCTCCTGCACCCAAATTACCTTCCTCTGCAGAAAGCTGGGGGGCCATCTTGGCTACTTGGGCTGGACTTCTTCCCCGACCGATCTTTTCCCTGGGGAAAAGCAGAAGAGGAGCAGTTGGCAGACTCTCTGGAGTACCTCAAGATGGGGGGGGGGCTGGCCTAGGCACCCTTAGGCCAGAACCCCCCATCTCACTGCAAGCCCTTCAAAAGACCACTCGCCCTAAGAGGGAGGCGCTCTAGTGCTGCCCCCATTAAGCAAGGCCCTGCCCCACATCAGGTTTTTCTGGGCACTCACCACTGCAGTCAACCGACTGGTTCTCAGAAGAGTCAGCAGACCTACCGGCGACGGACATTCTTCCCATGTTCTCTGAAGCCTTTGGCAAATGGATTGTTGTAGATCTTCAGTTTTGTGACCTTCAGAGAAAGAGAGGCAGCCAGCATCTGCACTAAACACTGCATTTGCAACTCTTTTCCTGTCTGGTGATTTGCCAGTAAATGCTACAAAACTAGGTGCCTATAAGGCTTACTGTTCTTTGCCTGGCACCCCTCCCCACTGGGCACTGCTCTGCTCCTAGTAGCTAGTAGCTACAACCCCAGTTGCAAAGCGAGGCCTGTTTTAAGGCACCACAAATGAACCGCTTCTCTCCTCTGGGGAGGGGGTTAGGGTTAAAAGGCTTGGCTTAGACAGCCATGGAGTGGGACAAGGGCCAGAGAGCTACTACAGGGCCTCCTGCTGCCTTCCTGATGTTTTCATGACTGCCAGCTATGAAAAGTCTGTCAGCAGGAGGAGACATGAAGAGGGAGCTGGTTGGGTGCTCGTATTCCACGCCCCGAAGACTGGACTTGGTTTCAGATGCAGGCCCACCAGTGGACTAGTAGCAGCCCTAGGAAAGTTGCTCCTCTGGGGACCAAGCCAAAGGCCCGTGCCCAGCTGCAGCCTAGAGATCCTCCTTCCCAAGGACTGGCCCTTCATGAGCAGCCTTCTGTTGACATACACATCACTCCACCTTTTCATTCTGATAGGCAGTCACAGAGGTGAAGACGGTCTCTGGGAAGCTGAAGGAATGGAAGATGCTGCAGCGAGTGCTGAAGAGGCCGTCTGCCTGCATGACGTGGAAACGCGGCTTATAGCGATGCATGGAGTGAAGGATGACCTGGGAGAGGAGAGCCAGAGAGGAGGACAGACAACTCAGAAAATGTCTCCTGACAGGCCTGCACAACTTGACTTGTGGACTTCTTTGGTTGCCAAACTCTTTCCTCACCAGTGGCCACCAAGACTCGATTGCTAGTTGCTAGAATCACAAACTCAGATCCCAAACTTTTAAAAAAAGGCCCGTGCCATCCTGGGAAGGCACCCCGCATTCATCCCAAGGAAGTTGATTCAGGAAGACCTTTGTGTGGGGTGAGGGGATTTTCTGTGGGACCTGAGAGACCACTAGCTGGATGAGGTGCTGAGCTGACAGGATTCCGAGGCTGAGGGCAAAACAGCCTGTGTGCTGGGCGAAGAAAGCAGCAATGGGAGTCCAGGAAAAGGGCATCAAGACCATCCGAGATCCATCACGTTCTTTTCCACAGGGAAGAGCAGAGCAGAGGAACAGGATGTTGTTCAGGCCTTTTAAGGATGGAGCTGGCTTGACCTTCCCTCTGGCTGAGAGGAAGAGGAATAAGGGAACAGGGCGGGGCTGGCAAGATGAGGAGTGGGGGAATGAACCAGCAGGGAATGATTCCTCAAAGGAGTAGGGGGTGGGGTGGAGAAAGAACCCTTAAGGTGGAGGAGTGGAAGCGATACTGTAACCGTCAGGAAACCCTTGCCAGTGGAGTCCAGAAGGAGAAAGAGACAGGAAAGAGAGGAATTGCCAGAGAAGCTGTGCACCCAGAAATATAACATCAAAGATGTTCTATGATGTTATATGATGGATATGATGTTATATCAAACATCATATCCAAAGCTCATATCCAAAATAGCAGCTAATATGTCCAGAGAATTGGAGACCCTGTGAGTGCTACCAGATGAATAAAGCAGAGAGTGCACAAGGGATTTAAGGTAGCCAGTTAAGGGCAGTCCCTAACATATTTTCCGTTGGTTTCAAAATCTAAGGGACTGGTTTGGACAAAACTCAGCAGCACTTTTTCGTGCGGCTGCTGATAAAAACAGGATCGCCAACGTCCGATAACAGATATGGCATAAAAAGAAGAAGAATGATTTCATTTTCAATGGAAATAAGAAGTAAAAACCTTCAAATAGTTATGACTAAAAAAAACCAAAAGTGAAGATGAATGGACCTCCGCAGACCTGCTCTCAAATACATCTACATAACCAGTGGGAGTTGCCTCCAGAAGTTGTGGGTGCTCCATCCCTGGAGGTTTTCAAGAAATGATGGGACAACCATTTGTCTGAATTGGTATAGGGTCTCCTGCCCGAGCAGGGGATTGGACTAGAAGACTTCAAGATTCCTTCCAACTCTGTTATTCTGTTATATATTTGTTACGAGGTCCAGTTATGCTTGAAAAATCTTGGAGCAATAAATAACCGCATATTAGATGACAAATGAGGACAAAGAAAAGCTAGTTCAAGAAAAATAGCACTGTGGCAGGAGCCGGCAGAGGAAGGAACTCCCCACAAGGAAGGCAATCCAAGAAAAGCCCTGCCCACTAACTAGACCACAGTGATTGTCAGAAGCCAAAGACCCAAGGCCGAAGAAACAGCCTGGGGGCTGCCCTAGACGAGGTGGGCTTTCAAGAGAAAGAAAGCAGACACCCCAGCCCAGAAGGCCAGCGACTGGGTTCCCGAAGGACGGAGGAGGGGCTTTTGCATCCAGCCAGAAAAGAAAGAGAAGAGGCAGCAGGGAGCAATTCACTCCATGAGCTACTGGAGGAAATGGTGCCGATGGAACCCTTGGTTTCTGAAGGTGCTGTTGGCTAGGACCACACCTCAAGGATGCCACAAAAGCTTTCAAGAACACTCAGTTACTCCCTCTAAAGTTAACTCCTGTTAACACATCTGGGAACAGATACTGACAGGACCAGCTGCAACAATATCACCATGGATGCCATAGATCAGTGGTGGCGAACCTATGGCACGGGTGCCAGAGGTGGCACTTGGAGCCCTCTCTGTGGGCACATGTGCCGTTGCCCCAGCCTTGCCTCCCCCTGCGACCTCCTTCTCACCACCCTGGAGGAGAGTTGCTCCTGAGCGTGGCCCACTCGGAGCAGCGCAGCCAAGGACATGGCAGCCAGGCAGTGTAGACAAGACTCTGCCCTCACACCCCATTCTGCACAGCTGATGCTGCAGAGGTGTGAGGGCAGAGTCTTGTCTCCTCCAGGGGGATGGGGGGATGGAGCAGGGGCAGAGCAGGGGGTGGAGCGGGGGCGGGGCCAGTTTTTGGGCACTCGGTCTCTAAAAGGTTTGCCATCACTGCCATAGATCAAGAAACGATCCTCAAAAACCCCAAGGCAAATGAACGGTTGGGTGACATCAACAGAAGTAGAGTAGTTCTCCTTTCGCTTTTCCTGCATGGTCCACTTTAAGTACTGTGTCTGCCATAGTCTATGAAGGGCTCAGCATCTTTTCTGCATGCTGCCTGCAAGAGACAGAATAACAGGTGAGGCTCAAAGGAGGAAGAGGCAGGAGGAAAGCCCGAAAAAGAACCACACCGCTTCAGCAACAACGCTGTCCAGCAAGGTGATGGTTTCATTTTTACAGGATGCGAGTTGAACCATCTGTCCCAAAGGCTTTAACATGGGAACTCATTAATTATCAGGAGATTATTATTTTACTGACAGACAAAGGCCATTCCATGGTGGTGATGAACAGCACAGGTTATGAAACGAAGACATTCGACCTACTCAACAATTCCTCAGCATATCCTTTAGACCAGCAAAGACATCAGAGCTGAGAATGATGATCGCACAATTGAATGCTTATCTCAGACAACTCAAACAAAACAACTGTATAATGAAAAAAGGAGCAATGGAAAATGAGAGGAACAGGCGCCGCCCCAGCGAGATTGGACTCCCAAGATACACAAAATAGGAGACCCCTATTGTAAAGTTCCTTCCTACAACCTGGCTAAATGGCTGGCACAACGCTTAAACTTCCTGACCCCACAATGACTTAATAACTGGCCATCAACACCCCAATCAACAACCAAAAAGCCACACACAACTAGGCACCACATAAATACTATGCATAGAATAGCCCAACAGTGCGGGAGAAGTTCCCTGAGAATGGGCTCCAGCACAAGTCCAACAGCTCAGAAGACTAAACTGCTGGTCCCGGTGGCCGACCCAGATTGGACCCTGCAACATTATCCAGGGACACATACATTTGCTTTCATTTGTCTCATTAATTAAATTAAATTAGCTCCTGCTACCTATATAATTCTAAAAGTTTGGATTTTATAAATGCTAATGCTTAAATATTAGCAAATGCCACTAGAAACATGGTGACAATTTTTTAAAAGTTGAATTCAGAAGGATTGAAGAGAAAAGAAACTACAGGAACGTTTTAAGGAAGGTCTGAACCTTTTTTCTCTGCTGGACTGAGACTACCAGCACTCCAGCCTATGATGGAAGTCCCGGAAGGAAGAACTCGAACCCCGGAGGGAGTTGCTTAAGAGGGGTAGCCGTAACAATCTTTTAGATAAATAAATAGAGAGAAAGAAAAGCTAAAGCTGTTATAGGAGGAGGAGGACTCTAAGACTGATCTATAGTTCTGCAGAAGAGACTTCAGTCTGGGCCTGGAGATCAGCATCTGCATGAAAACTATTGCAAGAGGTGGATGGTGCCTCAGAAGTTGGAGCATCTTCCAAGGAGGCTCTAATGACCAGAGGGTCCAGGGGCTGCCTGACATGAGGGACGTAACTCTGAGCAGCAAAGGCAGCCTAAGGAAGGGACGTGAAAGCATGCAAAATTAGAAAATTGGTCAGTGTACAGAGGACTCAGGGATTGTCAGAGAAGGTCTGGAGGATATGATGATGTAGTCAATTCTAGTCTTGTTCTTTTCTGCAAAGTTCTCTCAAACTTGTCTATATCTTCACATTTTTGTGCCCTCCCCGGTCAGCCCTGTTATGCATTGACAGATATGTGCAATTTGCAGGCCACTGACTGTCCACTGGATGGCTTGCAGTTAAAAAGGAAGAAAACAGCAAAAGACCCATACATGCCCCTGCTGGTCCAAGGTGTTGTTTGTCAGTTTGAGTTTCTGGAAGGAAACGGACTCCTTCATCCAGTGGCTACCCAGGGCAGGAGATTCTGGGTGGACGTATGTCCGGCATGGGGGCTGTGGCTCGGCTTTCCCTGCAATCTCCCACTGGTCCTTGTTCCATTGGGGAGAAGGAACAAAACGTCATCACGTGGCCTGCCTCCTTGTGGCCTGCTCTTCCCCCCCCAAGAGCAAGCTCCTTCTTCCAACCAGGTACTGCTCAGCTGGACCTCCCTGTCCCCCCCTGCCTGTCCCTCCCCCCTGAAGAGGGTCCCAAGGCAGAGATGCAGCCGGTGAGCAGAGAAGAGCCATCAGCTTGTAGAGCGTCACAAGGGGGCTCTGGGTGCAAGAGAGACCAGGACTGTTCCCAGCTCTCCTGGGAACAGAGGCAAAATGGCCCTCTTGCTGCACCAGAAGACACAGCCTTGATGACACAGCAAAAAGGCCGGGAGACATCTTCAGAAGCTGCAAGCTTTTGGTGAATCACCTTTGGTGAGATGGATAGCTATATAAATGTATTTTTAAAAAAGATATACAAAATAAAATAAGTTGTACACTTGCATATTGAGTCCATGTTCTTTTCTTTTTTTGCTGATTGTAGGAACACTCTAGAGATATTTCAAACTAAAATCTTATACCATCAGCCATCTAGTGTTTCTCTGAGCTGTCTGCAAGATTGAACTCCAGAGAGGCTGTTTTGTAGGGTCTTGGTCCTTTCTGGACATGCCCAGAAGGCTGTGCTGAAGTGCCAGCATTGGTCACCAACATAGGGACTGTCTTGTTTCTGACCAAACTGCTGGCTGGGGTTTTGGAGTGGAGAGTCCTCAGTAGGCTGAAGACCACTGGGTCTTCTACACTGCTCCCACCCTTCTAACATCCAGGAAGCAATCAGTCCTACGAACCATTCCTAATCTCAGTTGGCTGGAGGGCCAAGGACAAGATGGAGGAAAAACGTGGGCTCAGAGAAAGGCTTTGCTCCACAGGAGGAGGAAATGCTGAGTTTTCGGGGAGGGGGAGACAGCAGGCCTTCACAACCAGGTCCAGTGCACCCTCTGCCCCCCTCCCTGAGGAGACTGACCTGGCTCTCCATAGCTTGGTTCCCTTCCCCATACAAAAACGCCACCCTTTCCCTCTCCATTCTTTTAATGGCTGGCTTCAATTCTATTCTGATCTTTTCTCTCCTGTACTCCTTGTTCTTGCTACCTGCCTTGAGAGATGAGGTATCATCTCCATAAATAAGCTACACCCACCCCGCACCCCTGGCTTCCATTTCAGCCATTCTCCAGTTTCAGCTGCCGGCCGAGTATGGAGCCAGATTCAAAGCCCAGAGCTACTTCATGCTCAGTATCTCACCTGGCGGGACCCACGTCTTGCTTACCTTGTACCTGAAGTTGTCCATTGGCATGAAATCTACCAGCATGAGATACTTGGCATATGGGGTCAAGCCAGTAACTTTGATCTTGAATTGTGGAAACATTCGTCTGTGGAAAAGGAAGGGATTGCTTAAGAGATCTTAAAATGGTCCCTCTGGGAGGATTTAAATAACAGCTGCTGCTGCCTTTGATGGACCTCCAACATTGTTCATTGTCTCTGATGGGTTTCCATTTTTTTCTGTGGCATCTTTCCCCATCCCAGAAAAGACCATGATGGCTCTTGATTGATTAGGCCAGCAGCAGCCTCAGGCAACTTTGGCCACCTGCAGAGGCCCCTGTTTGTTTGGACATCTTAGTGGGGGGGGGACCTTGGTATTTATTTCAAGGGCCTCAATAAATATAGAGTGATGCTGAAGTTTAGGGAGGAAAGTCCCTTTTGGAGTTGCCACTAGGACCCTCTCAAGGCCTGTTTCCCAGAGTCTCTGAGGGACCAAAGAAGCCCCAGTGAGCTTGGAGGTCATCCTAGTTGTGGTAACCCCAGGTTGCATTCCTTGTGACACCTCAGAAGAGATGGGGTGGTTCGTAACTCCAGAAGAGGGAAAAGAAAGCAGGCGAGTCTTCTTTGAATTGTCCACTTGTGGCACTAGGGACAAACCTCCTCAGGTTTTTTGTTTTGTTTTGTTTTTGGGTCCTTAGTCTTGTAGGACTGATATTAAACACATTTTGCATCTAGAATCATTTTTATGGGTAGAAATTTCCTCTGATTTTTACACAGTGCCAAGTTCAGGGAGGGTGGTCAGCCAAGAGCAGCTGTGCATTGCTACAGAAGAATAAAGCGTCATTCGGAATTCAGAATTGGGTGATGGCAAATGCCAAGCAAAGAAATTTCCAGGAAAGTTGGCCATTCTCCAGCCACCTTAAGATTCCAGGGGTTCGTGGGAGAAGCTGAGCAGAGAGGCTGGGCTGTCGTGCTCTACTCTCGCCCCAAATAATCTTGCAACACAAGATTTTAAAAAGCTTTGCTCACCGCCCAGTTTTGGTAATAATCATCTCTGTCCCTGCATGGTGAAACTTGGCCCAAAGGTGCGGCTCTTCAAGAGTGATGGCTACGGAGCTGTGAGGAGGGGTGGAAGAGGTCTCCAACGGGGTAGGTTGAGCCTGGAAGTCTTCAAAGGAACAATGGAACAAGAGCAATTCCTAGTGAGGCTGGGCCAGCCCATCCCTCCCCTGCAAAACTGCCTTCAGCAGCCTCCCTTCCACTTTCACCCCCCTATAGATTCTGACTGTGGAACAGAGCTTCTGGGCAACCTGAAGATGTGTGGGCTTCAACTCCCGAAATCCCCAGCCAGCATGGGAATGGAAGTCGTCCATACATCTCCAAATTGCCAAGGCTGAGAAACACTGCTGTGGAATAACCTGCATCCTTCACGACTGGGGAATGTGGTTGGGTCAGGAATGATGTTCCCTATCATTTCTGTTTTAACATATTCGCCAAACATTGATTTTTTAAAAACTATTTCTGAAAATTAAATATGTATGAAATTAAATGATGTATGAACATGAGAAATTAGAATATATAAAAAAAATTAAAGTAAGAATTTGACATAACGTGTAGCAGGAATTTCAGAATTTTCTGAAATGTGATTCAGTTTTTTAGGGGAAAAAAGCAATTTGTAGGTAGCATTAGATTTTAAATTGATGGATTCTTTTCTTTCCATCTCCACTTCCTCTGAGAAAAATATGTTCCCCCAATTTGGGACTTCCTGTGGCTGAGCTGTGCCGTCAGCTGCTGTTTAACAGCTGCCCGTCCTGGGAAATCGTAAAGCTGGCAAAAACAGCAACGATCAGCTGTTTTGCGGCTTGAAACTTTCCTCCCGGGCGAAGAGAGGGAGGTGAGCCTTTGCCTGGATAGAGGTAGAACCTTACAACTTTCCCAGTTTTTTTTTTCTGGGAGATGAAATCGGAGTCTGGGTGTTGCTCTGTTTCCTTGGATGCCTTTGTTCTCCGAAGAGAACGAAGCTAGACGCTGCCTCCACTGCTGCTATCTGATGGGAACAGTAAGTTAACTCCAAAGCAGACAGAGCGGTCAGGAAGAGAAGAATTGATGATTTTACTTTAAACCTAACTCATTTGAATTAACATCTACTCCTGTTACTATTCTAATTGGAGTGAAGAAATATGGCGGAGGAATCCTCCTTCTTTGTCACTTTCTTTGTTTGAGAACTTTCACTTTCTATTTTTTACTTACTATCTTTAAACTGGCAACAAAGTTTTAACAATGTAATAGACTTGGTTCATTTTAAAGGGGGAAAAATTCTTATTCCCTTTTTTTAAGGGGGAATTGCCTTTTCTTCTCCTTTGTTCTTATATTACTATTTTTGGGAAAAGGGAAAGGGGCGAAAAACCCCTCCCTTTTTTTAAAAATGGCTTCAAAACGTCCTGGACTTCCTTCTCTTTCTAAAACTTCAACTGCCTCTCCAGTAACTCAGACTGTACAACAACGCAAACTTAAACCTTCTCCACCTTTGCCCCCACCTCAGGCACTTACACTTCAGGATTTACAAGATGCCTTAGATAAGACTTTGGAAAAATCACTAGAAAAAACAGCAGAGCTTCTGGCTCAAGAAAGTAATGAGCTCAGGAAAGATATTGTTTTGGCACTCCAAGGGCTTGCTGGCCTTGTGGAAAAGATTGACGACAGGGTGGATGAAGTGGTCGGTAATGTTGAAATATTACAAGATAGAGTTGAAAAAATAGAAGAAAATGTGGATGTTACACAGAATAAAATTATAATTACAGAGAAATCAAATATGGTTTGAGAATAAGGGGCCTGAAGGAAAATATTAAGGAGAATTTGAGAGAAGAAATTGGAGTAGAATTGGCCTCTATTTTGGAAACTGATCCTGAAGAAATGTTGAAAGATATAGAAAAGATTTTTAGAGTTAATTCGTGGGTTGCAAAACAGAGGAAATTACCAAGAGATGTGGTGGTCTATTTTGCGAGAAAATCACTTCGTAATGAAATTATACAGGCCTTCTATAAACAAAGATTTCAGATTGCAGCTCAGGATGTGAAGGAAATACCTTCTAAAATTCTTAGAAAAAGAAAAGACTTTTCTTTTTTGGCTGAAGAACTTAAGAAGCGACAAATTCAATTTAGATGGGATATACCTGTGGGGATAGTGGTGACTTACGCTGGTACACGATACGTCTTAATACAGTTTCAAAAGCAAGAGATTTTTATGTTACTATTTTAAAAGCAAGTCCACCACCATCTCCAAGATCAAAGAAAGATGAGAGCAAGGCAGAAGCGCAGTTGTTTGTAGGTTCAATGCCATCTTTGGGAGAAGAATTGTTGGTTGAAGTTATGCAACAGAATTTGCAAATAACAGAAGACCCAAGGGAACAGAGAATTACACGCGCTGCTTATAAACGTAGAGAAAGACAACAAGAACAACAATAGCAACAACAACAAAAGGCAGATGATGGAAGTTTACTACAGTCTATTTCAGAGCCGGTGGGAGGAGCAATGCCAAAGAGATCATCGACTGTAAATCTAGATGCTTTGTTCCAAAGGCTTCATCCTGCCAAGGATGGCAATGCTTCTAACCTGGAATGTTAATGGGCTTAACTCACCACAGAAGAGAAAGAAAATCTTTCATTATTTGAAACAACACAGAAATGATATTATTTGTTTACAAGAGACTCATATTATTTCTAAAGATCAAAAATATTTGTTTAATCCCCGATAGGGGATACATTTTATAGCTCCCGCTTTGCAGAAAAAAGGAGGAGTAGTTATCTATGTGAGAAAGGAGCTTTCACCGAAGTTAACTGATTTTGGCTTACAAGGAAGGTATGTTATTATTGATTTACTAATAAATGATAAGAGAACCCTTCTTGTTGGTTTATATACTCCCAATCAACAACAAAAACATTTTTATAAGTTGATTCATCAGAAATTAACTTCTTTGGATTATAAGTCAGTTATTATGATGGGAGATTGGAATGGTGTTTTAGATTCAAGTAAAGATAAGAAGGGTCCCTTTAAAGTTTCTAACCATGCAAGACTTCCTAAAGTTTTTTTTTACTTAAAGGATGATTTGGAACTTAGAGATATTTGGAGAGAACGGAATACTGAGGAAAAAGACTTTACTTTTTTTCGGATAGACACCAATCTTATTCTAGAATTGATTTTTTCTTGGTTACTAGTGATTTCCTTTCTAGGGTGAAGAATATCAAGATATTTCCTAGAATAATTTCAGACCACAGTCCGGTATGGTTGGAAATTTCATCGGAAGAAAGAACTAGAAGGTCTTGGAGGTTGAATGAGAATTTATTTGGATATGAAGAGAATATACAGCGATGTAAAGGTTATTTAAAGGAATTTTTTGCTTGGAATATGAATAAGGGTACTTTGATTCCAATGGTATGGGATTCTTGTAAAGCATATATGAGAGGGGTTTTGATTTCTATGAACAATGCTCACAGATGTAAACAGATCCAGAAACGTAAAGACCTTGAAGATGAGATTAAATGTAAGGAAAAGATTTTAATATCAAATCCAATGGACAATGTTAAAAGTTTCTATTACTTTGCTGAAGGAGCAATTTAATATGTTATTATCAGATCAAATTGCAACTAATTTGAGGTATGTGAGACATAATACATTTTGTAATGCAAATAAACCTGGTAGATGGTTGGCTTATCAATTACGTAAGAAACAGAAATTGAGGATTATAGATAAAATAATTTATAAAGGTAAAGAAGTCTACCAACAAAATTTGATTAAAAAGTCTTTTTTAGATTTTTATTCTAAATTATATACTAGTGAAAGTATACAAACTTCAGATATAGAAAAATATTTACAGGGAGCACATTTTCCTAGACTCACGAGTGATCAATGTGATGGGATTAATGGTTTAATTACTTCTGAAGAGATTATTTTTGCAATTAAACAATTGAAGGTTGGTAAGACCCCAGGTACTGATGGGTTAACAGCGATTTATTACAAGATGTTATCTGAAGAAATGATAGAACCATTAAAGGTACTTTTTAATGATATTTTATCTGGAGCAGAATTACCTCCATCTTGGAGAACGGCCTTCATATCATTAATTCCAAAGGATGACCAGGATCTGTCCCAATCTAGAAATTATAGGCCTATATCTCTTTTAAATATAGATTATAAGATTTTTGCAAAGATACTGGCAAATAGATTAATGCAGGTTTTGAAACAATTGATTCATACTGACCAATCTGGATTTATAATAGGGAGATATATGAAAAACAATGTAAGACAAATTGTTAATTTAATAGAGTATTTGGATAAGAACAACCAAATCCCTGCTGCTTTGATATTTATAGACACTGAGAAAGCTTTTGATCAATTTGATTGGAATTTTCTATTGAAAGTTGTAGAGGAAATGAATTTTGGAGATAAATTCTTATCTGCTCTCAAGGCCATTTATCAACAATAATTGGCACAAATTATAGTTAATGGGGGATTAGCAGACATATTTAAAATAGGAAAAGGTACAAGACAGGGTTGTCCTTTATCCCCCTTGCTATTTGTACTAACAATGGAGATTTTACTTATTAAAATTCGAGACTCATCTAGATTAAAAGGAATAAAAATAAGTAAGATTGATTATAGGCTGAGAGCTTTTGCTGATGATTTGGTTGTGACATTATCCCATCCAACAGATTCGGTCAAAGATTTGGTTGAAATTTTAGCACAGTATGAACAGGTCTCTGGTTTTAAGGTTAATAAAAATAAAACTAAAATATTATTGAAAAATATGTCTAGGAAGGGAAAAGATTTTACAGCTGAAACAACCGATTATGAAATAGTTAATAAGGTTAAGTATTTAGGAGTTTATATTACAACATCTAATGGAAAATTGTATAAGAATAATTATGAGCGCTTATGGGTTAAAGTTCAAAAAGATTTAAATGATTGGCAAAAGCTACAACTATCGTTATTGGGGAGAATTTCAGTAGCGAAGATGAATGTTCTACCAAAAGTTTCTTTTTTTATTTCAGATGATACCCATTTTAAAGAAGGATGCTAATTTGGATGAGTGGCAGAAGGGTATTAATAAATTTATTTGGGGTGGGAAGAAATCAAGGGTAAAGTTTAAGATTTTACAAGATGCTTGAGAGAGAGGTGGACTTAAAGCATCTAATATGAAATTA